AAAAAAAAAAAAAAAAAAAAAAAAAAAAAAAAAAAAAGAAGTGTCTATGCACTATGGCACATGAGGCAAGGTTGCAAGTAAGGGTATTGTTCCAAACAGAGTGAATGCATGCTTCCTGAGTGCGTAAAGCCTTTCCCCTAATGAGCTTGAAGAGTGCTGGCAAAAGGCCTTTCCCCTCCACAAAAGAAACGAGAAGTCTTCTCTTGAAAATTGGACCAGCTCAAGAGGAACTAAAGATACTGAGATAAGGGCTACCAACAAGTTCAATAAGAACATCATGCAATGAAACTCAGTTGGTAAGTCCCACTTACTTTGGAATGAAATGAATGCAATGAAATGAAACTCTGGGTAAGTCACTTTTAGACCCTCTCCTTAAACATGAAGAGTGCATCAAGGATTAACCTTCATGTGAAGAATGGCTAATACTAAGGAAGGGAAGAAAACCAACTGGAGAAGGTAATTCAGAAGAGATTAGCAATGGGGAAAATGTAATGCATTCAAATATTTAAGAGATAATATTGTAAATAAAAAAACATAGCATAAATTTAAAATTATAAAAATTATTTATAAGAAAATGTCAAAAAACAAAACTAACACCACTAGCCTTAGAAAGAGAAGTTAAGAAAATCTATCTATGAGACAAATTTAAAAAATTCCTTAGAAATTAAGAATATAATGGTAAAAATGAAAAAAAAATTTGGACTCAAAAGACAAAAGTGAGAAAATCTTTCAGAAATACAGCAAAAAAGAAGAGAAAAGGTAAGAAAATTAGAGAAGCAATCCAGAAGGTCCTACATCTAAATAACAAAAATTTCAGAAATAAGACAACAAAGAAAAAAGGGTAGAGGAAAATGGTAAAAAAAAAATTCAATGGAATTTCCAAAAAGCTGCTAGTATGATTTCTTAGATTCAAAGGACTAGTTAGCATAAAAAAGAAAAAAAGACCTATACCAAATTATACTATCAAAAAATTTCAGAATGGGGAGAAAGGGAGGGAAGGTAGGGTGAGGGGAAGGGAAGTAAGAAACAGATCACATACAAAGGATCAGGAATCAGAACAGCTTCAGACTTGTGAACCACATATAAGCTAACAAGCAATAAACCAATGTCTTCACAATTATGAAGGGAAATTATTTTAAGCCTAGAATTCTATATCCAGCAAAACTATCAATTAGGTATGAGAGATAAAAAGACATTTTCAATAAATTTACCTTCCATGTATCATTTCTTAGGGAGCTACTGAATGATTTATTCCAAGAAAAAGATGGCACAAAACCAAGAGGAGGAATACATGGAATAGAAGAAATAGGAGATCTACTATAGGAGAAAGGCAAAGAGAAATATTCTAGGATAGAAAGAGTATCCTAGAAGTACAGGGCCACTGGTTGATCTTGGAGCAAATCAGGTACTCCAGGAGAATTTTCTTCATGAAGATGAAATTCATGGGAATAAACATCTTGAGAGGAGATGTGGACAAATGGCAGTAAATCTGGAGTTAAATTACACTAAGTGCAAAAAAAACTAAGAACACCAATAAGAAAAACTGTTGTTAATCTGGGAAAAACAGCAAGACTCAGAGGAAAATAAAAGTAACATGCCTCTAACACTCTAGTAGCATTTGTAGTCATAAAAATGTAACTCTGAATTGATTCAACCAAAATTAAAATTAAATTACATCAAGAGAATGAGGAGGGAATTCTGTATTAAAATGTGCATACACTGGCAGGGCGTGGTGGCTCACACCTGTAATCCCATCACTTTAGGAGGCTGAAGTGAGTGGATCACAAGGTCAAAAGATCAAGACCATCCTGCTGAACACTGTGAAACCTCATCTCTACTAAAAATACAATTGGCTAGGCGTGGCACGCACCTGTATTCCCAGCTAACTGGGAGGATGAGGCAGGAGAATCGCTTGAACCCGGGAGGTACGGGTTGCAGTGAGCCAAGATCATGCCACTGCACTCCAGCATAGTGACAGAGTGAGACTCCATCTTAAAAAAAAAAAAAAGTGCATACGCTGACAGAGTTTATTGTGAAAGCAGGGGGAGTCTGGAGAGCTAAACCCTGTTAGTGTAAAGAAAGTCAAGAGTTAATGCAACAAATGAATAGCCAAAATGCAATGTAAGCATGATATTTAGATATTGAGGAAATACTGAAATGGTTGAAAGCAAATTGCCTCAGGAGTAGAAGAAATGGGGTTGAGGTAGTGCTACTCTTAGGTTTTCCCACCAAACATTGTAGAATTTAGTGATGAATTAAATATGTGCCATATCACTTTATTTTCAACCCAAACCCCCAAACATATTTTTGTTTTAATTTAAAGCAAAAACATATCCTTATGCAATCCACTCACTATTCTAGTATCTAGAATAGGGTATCCTAGAATGGATCACAGAAAACTGTGTGCCTAGGACTGCATTTTAGCTCCTTGAAGTGGTAGTTTTAGTGAACTGGACGTAATTCTTTTGCTATGCACTTATAACAAGGGACAGTTAAATAAAAACTAAAAAACACATTATTATATTTACTGTAGAGAAGTAATGAATGTTTCACAACTATATAGTGTTGTCTTTATGGGAACACAGAATAAATTTCTTACAGGCCTCAATACTTAAAGAATATTCTTATCTTGAGTAGGTCATTTTTCTTTCTTCTTTTCTCCTAGAATATGAATACTGCAGTTCACAGACATGGTGTTCATTCCCTCTTTCTGATGGCTGATAGATAGCTCAGAGCAAACTAGGGACCTCTCTTTCTAACAAACAAAGTACAGGATATGGTGATTTCTTGGGACACTAACCTTACTCCTGGTTTAATATTTTTCTATCCTATCCTCACTTTCTCTTCCTTCTCAGTCCCTTTTCTTTTATCTTGAAAAACTGTTTATATCTTTATATGCTATGCCAAGTCATTTTCAGAATGAGGAGAGTACAGATAAACAAATACAGGCACCCCTAGAGATATGCCATCTGCTTAGTCAATCCTATGCTAAAGATGTACAAACAAGTATAAGACATGACACTTATCAGGAGTTTGCAATATAATTGGGGAAATAAAAAATAGTGTCTAGAAATTAACACACACACACACACACACACACACCCCAAGGCAATATGGGACAAATGGTAAGAAAAGTACTAGGGAAGTACAAAGGCAAAAGACAATCAGGCAATCATGAAATATAAGCAGAGGATCTGAGTTCTGGAAAGACCTTTTTAAATAGTGGGAAATATTTACCCAAAAAAGGAAAGCAATTGGGAGAACATTTTGGCTGAGGATGATAATATGGGTAAGTAGGAAGCACCAGGTATGATTATTGCATACTGAGTAGATTAGTTTGGCTTGAATGAAGGGTATGAGTATGGAGCAGTAAAAGGGAATGCTGAAAAAGTATGGATTTAACATATCCATAGCATGATGAAGAAAAAAACACCTATACCAAATTATGCTATCAAAAAATTTCAGAACGGAGGAACCGGGTCTTGGCTGGGTACGGTGGCTCACACCTGCAATCCTAGCACTTTGGGAGCCAAGGCGGGCGGATCACTTGAAATCAGGAGTTTAAGACTAGCTTGGCCAATATGGTGAAACTCCATCTCTACTAAAAACACAAAAATTAGCTGGACGTGGTGGTGCACGCCTATAGTCCCACCTACATGGGTGGCTGAGGCAGAAGAATCGCTTGAGCCCAGGAGGCAGAGGTTGCAGTGAGCTGAGATTGCACCACCGCACTCCAGCCTGGGCAACAGAGCAAGACTGTCACAAAAAAGGAAAAAAAAAAAATTACAAGGTCTTAAATGTCAGACTAATGGGGATTTGAACACTAAATCGATTCTAGAGATAGTACAACTTTTAAATATTTTTAAGTAGTGCAGTAATAAAGTAGAGTTTCAGAAAGACTTATTTAGCAATGGTCTGAAAATACTGAAGAGATGATAACCTGGAAGCGACATTACTACAGGAGTTTAAGGGTAAAGTGTTAGGGCTTATCTCAGGATGTTGAAAATGGAAAAGAAAAATATATGAGGCACATTGTGAATAAAGGAGTGATACATCTTGATGGTTAAAAAAAATAAAATCACAGTTATGAGCCTTTGAGAACATAAGAATATGACTGAATTACAGAAACACAAAAATAAAAAGGTTGGCTTGGCTGTAACTATCTAGCAGTCAAAAATGTGCAGTTTAGTGCCTAGTGTTTACAACAGATAAGAATAATAAAGCAATTCACTGAATTAAACATAATTAGCTAATTCGGAATCTATCCTAACAGCTCCACGAAAAATGATTTTTACTTAGAAGACAATTAATACTAGCATATCATAAATTACAGCTTTGAGGCACATACTGTCCTGATGAATAGAACCTGTTGCATTTATGTTCTGAAAGACAGGCAAAAGGCCCAGCTCCCAGGGCAAATTCAGCTGAACTCAAATTATTTTAAAAATATAAACAAGTATGCATATGTTGGAAGTCAAAACCATAACTGAACAGAGGGGCTTTGTTCAGATTACGAAAGGGGAAAGACTGTCTATAAATATAGGATATTAAGTGAAATAGGAATGAACACACTTATCTATTTAAAAAAGGAAAAACTAACTCTACAGTTGGGGAAATAATCTTTTCACTAGGGCTAATCTTAAAAATTAGAATTTTCAGATTCTGGGCATGGGTCACATTTTAAAATGGAAAAACTAGCCTTTCAAAACTCCATTTATTTCCTATGTGGCCTATTTTCCTACAAATACAAAGCCTTGATAGAGTTAAGAGGCTATCATGAAAGTGAAGACATAAGGTTGTAAAGTAGACTCCCCTAACAAGTCAAGAGTGTGGCTCATGCCTGTAATCCCAGCTGCTTGGGAGGCTGAGGCAGGAGGATTGCTTAAGCCCAGGAGTTCAGTGGACTCTCTTGACAACCTGGCTCAGCTCATACAGTTCCAGTTTTTGCCCCTGAATCTTGGGAGACCTGGATTAAACTCCTGGCTCGTACTAAAAGTAGTCAAATTTCAGCATTAAAAGCCTCTTCAGCTTTTTCTCACATTGGGAATGTTGGGTATTAAAAGTAAGTGGGTAAATGGCTCAGCTTGCAAATAAAACTTTACTAAAAAGTCATTTAAATTTATTTAAAGAAATTCTTTTTACATTTAACTTTATTTTTGACAAATCAGGGTTGAATTACCCATGAGACTAACCGAATCCTCTCTGCTCCAAATTCTACCAGATAGTCTATTGCTAAACTGTAAGCAAGGCACTAAATGATCCCTAAACTTTTACTGCAAGAGGCACTAAGTGATCCTTATGCTTTCTTTCAGTTAAGCTATGACAAATTCTGGAAACACTTACATGTGTCTTTGTGTACATAAAATATGTAAAACAGCCTTCCACCTCTTAGTCCTTTTATAACCAATGGAGAGTTTTGTGCCAAGGAAATTTCTGATTTTTTCTCTAATGGTATTGGCAGATTTAGCAATTTAAATCATGTTTCTGTGTTTCTCTAAGACCAAACAGAACCTGTGGGATATATTTTAAAAAGGAAAATGAATGCCCAGATAATATGTATAAGAATGCGTTTAGGCCGGGCGCGGTGGCTCAAGCCTGTAATCCCAGCACTTTGGGAGGCCGAGGTGGGTGGATCACGAGGTCAAGAGATCGAGACCATCCTGGTTAACATGGTGAAACCCCGTCTCTACTAAAAATACAAAAAATTAGCTGGGCATGGTGGCGTGTGCCTGTAATCCCAGCTACTCAGGAGGTTGAGGCAGGAGAATTGCCTGAACCCAGGAGGCGGAGGTTGTGGTGAGCCAAGATCGCACCATTGCACTCCGGCCTGGGTAGCAAGAGTGAAACTCCGTCTCAAAAAAAAAGAAAAAATGCATTTATCCTTTTCTATAAAAACAAAGAAAGGTTCGAAAACTTTTAAACAGATCAGAAACAAAGAACTAGCTACTCACTAGTCTGTCTCTGTCATTTTGGAGTGAAGACATAGCTTTTTTTAAACTCTGTACTTCAGCTGGGCTGGTGGTAGGCTGAGCTGCAGTCCTCTGCTTCCCTTCCTCTGACTTTCGAAATTTCTCCAGCTCATTCCACAGGTGATCTCTCTCATTCTGTAGACTGGCCATAGCCTTGGAAAAGGACTGCACTTGGTTATAAGAATCTTCTAGTTGTGAGGACAAGTGAAACAGCTGCTCATCTTTGGATAGGAGCTGTTGATTAAGTTTCTCAAGGTGAGGCAAGCTGTTCTCCTCAGTGGAGTTCATTGAAAAGGTGGCTTTAGAAAGAAGAGCATCTCTCTCTCTGTTTAAGAGGTCCTGTTGTTCTCTCAACTGTGCCAATTCCTTCAGACTGGCATCATATTTCCTTTTCAGTTCATCAAGTTCCTCATTGGCATGATCTCTACTATTTTGCAAGGAACTCATAGACCTTCCAAAAGACTGAATTTGTGCTGTGAGATCTTTATTTTCTTTGGTGACCATGAGTAATTTCTGTTCCATCTCCACCAGATCTCTTGCTAGCTCTGCCACTCTCTCTTCTGCTGTTTCAGTTTCATTTCTCATTATCCCTGCATCATGATGAAGATGCTTTAATTCTTTCTTCAGTTTATCTTCAATTTCACCTACCTTCTTGGCAGCTTCCTTATGGACACAAACCAATTCCTCTTCCAGTTCTGTAATTCTCTTTTGAGAGGAGGAAAGCACAGTGCTTAACTTCTGTAACTCTTCTTCCTTTACTTTTAACTGGGCATGATAGATTCCTACAGTACCTTCTTCTTGCAAGGCTGTTACTTGTCTCTTTAGCTGGGATATAGATACTTTCAAACTTTCAATCTCTTTAGATAAATCTTGTTTCTCCTCTTGTAGGGCATTAGAAGACCTCTGCAGATCCTCTTTTGCTTCCTCAGACTCCTTCAGCTTTTCTTCTAATTTAGCATATTTATTTTGCAGCTCCTTATTTTGTTGAAGTTGAGCTTCAAGAAGCTGCTTTTGCTGACTGTCCTTTATTGATATCACTTGGTTCAGGTCTTCTCTATATTGGATCAGTTCTGCATCTAGCTTGGCATTCTCAGAATTGAGATCATCCATATGACTTCTCAAGCCTCGTATTTCTTCCTTAAGCTTGTTATTCTCAGCAGCAGCCTCTTGGATGAGTTGGTCTTTTTCCAAGATTACAGAGAGATGTCGCTCTTCCAGCTGTTGATAGTCACCCACTATGCGGTCTCGATCATTTTGGAGAGAAGACATGGATTTAACGAAGGAATCCAACTGTGCCTTTTGCTGAATGTTTTCCTTTTTGATGTTTTTCAGTGTTTCCATAAGCTGATTGGTTTTGTCAACAGCCTTTTTGTTCTCCTCTTCTAAAACAATATTCTCCTCTTCCTCCTGGGACAGCAGGTTTTCCATCTCTTTAATTTCTTTATCATGTTGCTGTTGCAGTTCAGCAATAGCTACTTGGATTGCCTCTTCCTTGCCAGAAAGCAGACTTATAATCTTTTGCTCTTTCATATTTATTTCTTCATGCAGCTTACTGGTCAGTTCTCTGGAGGTCTGAAGGTCAGTCTCCAGTTGTTCATAACTGAACTTAGAATTTTGGATATCAGCCTCTTGCTGCCTTATGATCCCTTCCAAGTTTTCTTTCTGTTCCTTACATTGTTCCAAAGAGTTACTTAAATCAGTCAACTGGTCTTTGAGAATCTTAAATTCTGATTCCAACTTAGCTAATTCATTCTGAGAATTGTGGTATAGGTGGCGTGTCTCTTCTAGCTGAGACAAAAGTTCCTTGTTTTCCCCCTGTAGAGTATCACAGACTTTCTGTTGAAGCTGGACCTCTGTCTGGGCCTTGGACTCCCAAATCTGCCTGTCATGTTCAAGCCTGAAACAGAGAGTTACTAGTTACAGATTTCAAGAAAAAACTGTTTCCCAAAGAACAAATACTATTACATATACTCAATAGATTTACAAATGAATTAACATGTATAACAGAAGATGTCAAATGTTTTTCTGAAGAGGTATTAATCCTCTGTACCTACACGTTTGTCTACTGAATGCTATGTATTAAAGGTATATCACAACTAAGGGTTCATGTATTTAAGTCATAAACTCCAAAATGTGTTGCTTATTTTAGTGACATGGTTTTGGACACTCTGAAAAGTAACATTTTCTCCTATTTTATTCTACTTTGCTCCAGACAAGCTAATGTCTGGCCTCTCTATGGGATCATCTTGATATGAGACAGTGAGGAATCTATTTTAGAATAGAAGGGTCCTAATAGAAGTAAGGAATACAGAGGATGAGAGACATTGCTAGTTCTAGAGTTTTAAAAGTGATATAAAATTGAAATTTGAGAAAAAATAACTCTAAGAGGCATATGCAATATGAATTACTGTGGAGTACAGGAAGGAGAAAAGATGAGACTATCTAGGACACCAAGGCAATAATTTGAGAGTACTGTGGTTAAAATCCAGACAAGAGTAGTTGAAATGGGAGTAAAAAGAAATACAGCAATCTCTCAACAGAAAGATGAGAAGAGAAGATGTGAACTTTTCATGTTCATGCAGTTGTAGCAGGATTGTTTTTTGCCAAAAAAAAGAGTCAGAAGTGAGAGAGAATATATCTTCCATGGGAATTCATGCCAAAATTAGTCCCATTGTCTTAAAGGAAACAGAAATAGTTGCCTTTCTTTGCTTCCAATTACCTCTGCGGGAGAAAAGATTCATTACTCATTTACCTGGAAATGTTAATCTTTAATTCCTCCATATGGATGGACATCTGTCTAAGTTGATCCTTTAGAACACTGCAGTTCTCTTCTTTGAGTCTAATTTCTTCTTCTTTGGTTTGAATCGCATCACTGAACTTCCTCTCCCATTTCTTAGCTTCATCTATCACTCTGTCACGATCATCCTGAAGGGAAGACATGCTCTTAGTAAAGGCTGCAAGCTGGGCCACAGTACTGTCCAAGTTTTCCTGAAGTTGCTGAACTTCTTTGTCTTTCTTGTTCAAAGTAACCTGAATCTCTCCAATTGTCTCTTCCAAGTGGACTTTTTCTCTGCGCAAAGCATCCAGTTTCTCTTGCATATTCTTCTTCTCTTTCAGGTGCTTCTCTTCTGCCTGTTCCAGTCTTCGCTCAAGATCTTCATCCTTTTGTTTCATTTGGCTTTTAACTGATTCTTTATTTGACTGAAGTTCCTTTTTCAACTTGAGATTGTCTGCTAGAACCCTTGCTGCTTCACTTTGAGTGTCATCTAGCAGAACTTTGAAGCTAGCTAATTCTGCTTCTGCCTTTTTGCGGTATTCAACTGCTTGAGCCAGATTTTCTTTGGTTATTTCCAAATCTTTTTGGGATTCAGACTGAACAAATTCTAGGGCTTTAACAGTCCTCTCCAAAGCACTAATTTTCTCTTGATACCTGATGCAGTCCTTCTGTAGCTGCTTTACTTCTTGTTGTTTTTCTTTTAACAGTTCCTGAAGTTCCTTTGCATGACTTTTATTACCAGGTTCTTTCTGAGCACCTTGTATTTTCTCCAAATACTCCTTTCGTATTTCTGATTCCACCTTAGTTTTTTCCTTGACTAACTGCTGCTTTTCTTCTTCCAATTCACTCACACACCTTTTAAGGTTCTTCATTTCAGATTCTAGTAATTCATTTTTTATTTGGGCATCTGTAACATCCTGACAATAATTCCCAATGCTTCCATTAAGTTCTGCTAATTGATTCATAAGCCTCTCTTCCAAATCATCTTTCTCTTCTTCTGCTGTCTCCTTTAGCTTGGTAACTCTGGAGAGTTCTTCTTGGATTTGCTGATTTAGCAGGTTCATTTTGGTTACTTCTTCCTGAAGCATTTTTACTTCACCATCCTTTGTTGATATCTGACTGACTAAGGCATTTCTCTCATTTTCTAAAGTCTGGCTAAATTCCTTGTTTTTCTGCTTCTCCTCCTCTAATCCAGCAATTCTTTCTTTGAGCTGATCAATCTGCTGTAGGTAGTTATTAATTTCATCATGTGAACTGAGATTCTCACTTATATCAGGGTTGGCACTGTTCTCTGATGGAACCGATTCTGAACATGCAGGCCTTGTACTCACACTCAGAGAGTCTTGCTCTTTGGTCTCACCTGGTATAAACTGTGTTGCCTCTTCAGTGGCATTCATTTGGTTATCATGTTTCTCAGTGGCCTCTAGGTTAGCTTGTTTAGATACATTACCTTCTATCTGATGCTTTAAATCTTGAACCTCTTCACTTAGAGACTCTTTCTCAGACATTAAAGACTGAAACTTCTTAGAAAGGGTTTCATACTCCATTTTGACCCTTTCAAGTTCTTCTTTCATGCTGGAATTGGAAGAAACAAGTGTTTCCATACACTCTTTAGCTGTATCTCCTGCAGGGTGCACCTCTGCTCTAAGCCGGTCATTCTCTTCTTCCAGCTCTAGGATTTTCTGCTGTTTAGATTTAGCAAACTTTCTCATCTTTTCTTTCATTTCTTCCATTTCTTGCTCAGCTTCCTGCAACTGTTTTTCTGTCTCCTTCTTGCTTGCCTCTGTGCTTCTTAACTTGCCATACAGTTCTTGCTTCTCTTGCCTCACAGCTTCCACCACATGCTGAATCCTTTCTGCTTCATTACTAACATTCTCATAGGACTGCAGAAGAATTTCATACTCTTTTTGTAGCTCCTGGTGTTTCTCTTGCCACTCAGTACTTTCTGCAATCTTAGAAGATTTCAAAGATTCAATTTCCTTCACTAATTTTTCCTTGTCTTCAGTAAGACCCTCTAGAGCTAGTTTTAGACTTTCGCAAGAGCCACTGAGACTCTGATTTTCCAATAAAGACCTGTCCATTTCTGTAATAAGTTTGTCTCTTTCTTCCTGAAGAAGAGCTAACCTTCCTAGGAATGTATCTTTTTCTTTATTTTGAGCAGAAATTTGGCTTTCCATATCTGCCAGAGACTTGGTGAGACGTTCAATGGTACCTCTGGCTAAAGACAATTCCTCTTGGAGACTTTTGTTTTCCTTTAGTGCTTCTTTTCGGGAAATAAGGGCAGCTTGCAGTTTCCTCTGTATTTGTTGCTTTGCTTTACTTTCTTCTTGAGTCTCTTCTGGTTTTTGCTTCATTTCACAAAGTTCCACCTGTAGCTGCTTTATCCTGTCATCATGCCCTTTGGCTTGCATTTCTAGCTGTGTATGCAGAGCCTTAATTAAATCTTCTTGCTCTATTATCTCTGTCCGTACTTTAGTGAGAGCTGCTTCTTTCTCACTAAGTTGTCCAGAAAGGCAGCTAACGTCTTCTTCCTTTTTGTTTATGAGTTTTCGCAGTTCATCTAGTTCAGGTTGCAATTCTCTTAGATGTTCTAGGCCAGCAATTTGTAGCTGGCTGCTTTCCAATTTCTGCTGCAGGCTTTCTGCACGGACTTCAGCTTCATGGGATGCTGTCTTTAGACTCTCAATTTCTAAACCCTGTTTATTTATCTGCTTTTGTAACTGAAATACCTCTTCTGATTTTTTAGTAAGCTCACTTGTTGTAGAATTAACTTTCAATTCCAACTCTTCTTTCTCAGCTTCTATTTCCTTCAGCTGGGCCTTCATCTGGGTAACAGAAGTTCCGCCCTGCAGAGCACTTGCATCTTCAGAATGAGCAGGCCAGTCTGGGCACAAGTTGGACTCTAAAACAGGCTGAGTGTGATGCTGCTCTGCGGTTTTGAATAAAGGTTCTTCTAAACCCAGAGTGGGAGAGCACGATTCCTGCTGGTCAGTGCCTGGGAGTTTTCCTTCTATGGATTCCCTTACTTGAATCTGAAGTTGCCTTAGCTGGTCTCCAATATTCTCATTTTCCTTGCTTTGCTCATCAAACTGTTCTTGCAAGTGATTATAGTCATCTTTCTGTTGCTTTAGCTCCTCCCTAAGATGTCTTTCTTTCTCCTGTGCCTTTTTAAGAATTGCCTTGCGGGAGGTTAAGGCTTCTTGTAGCTTCTTTTGAAGTTGCTCCTTTTCTTTTTCAAGGGCCAGTATCTTTTCTTTCAGTTCTGGTTTCCAGGGTTCACCACTATCTGTACCAGGTGGACTTACCACCACTGTTTCCTTTACAAGTGCTACAGAGTCCCCATCACCTGCATCCTTGTTACTTGTGGTTAACTTCTGGATAATTGCTTGCTTTTCACTGATTTTCGCTTGGAGCAAATCTATTTGGTTTGTTTTATCTTGCAAGGTCTGATTCATCTGTTTGACCAAAGCCTGTAATTGCTCTTCAGCTGCCATCTTTTCTTCCAAATTCTTCCTTATATGATCTAGTTCCACTTCTTTCTCAGATATTGTCTGTTTTAAAGAAATTTCTATTTCTTGGCACTTAGAAGTCACAGATTTTTCTGAGTATTCTTTGTTTTCTTTATCTTCTTCCATTTCTCCCCTCTCACTCTCACTGAGTGGGGTCTCTTTCTTAGATTCATCTTTCAAGTTGGCTAATTCCTCTTCCAATATACTGACTCTTTGCAGAAGCTCCTTTCTGTTAATAAGAGCTGCCTGGAGCTTTCTCTTTCTCTGCTCACTTTCTTTCTTCAGAAGGTCTAATTCACGCTGAAGTTCTTCCTTACTTGTTAGTCCTGCTGGACTCATCTCATCATAATTTTGTTTAAGGCCAGAAGCAACTTCATTATCTTCTTCCACCTGCTCTTTTTTTGCTTCTTCAGCTCTGGATAATAAATTTAGCTGTTCTTTAAGAGTCTTAATTTCAACCCCAAGAGAAAACTTCTCTTCATTAAGCTGAACCATTTTCTCAGTCATACTAAAGCTGATTTCTGTCACTTGTTGATCCTTCTCCTCGATGGTTTGTTGGAGGGTTTCCACATCTCTCTTTTTCTCTTGTAAGAGTTGATCCATTTTTGCTATTTCAAGTTCCTTCTGTGAAAGGGCCAAGGACAGTTCTTCCACCTTATTTGAGATATCCCTGACACGTTCTGCCCCCTCAAGCACTTCACTTTCCTTCTTTTGCAGCTGGCTTTGCAGGCTTCTTATCAGTGTACTCTGCTCAGAAAATTGAAGCTGCACATCATCCAGTTCATTCTGTAAAACTTCAATTTTCACATCTTTAGATTTGGCTTCTATGCTGAGACTGTGGATCTGTTCAGTGAGCAGGTTGTGATGAGTAGTTTGGCTTTCATAGTCAAGTCTTCTTTGCCTTTCTGCTTCTGCAAGGTTCATTTCCAATTGCTTTACCTGAGCCCTCAATTCTGTTACTATGCTAAGTTCCTTAACCTGAGAAAGAAGCCGGTCTCTTTCTTCAGACAAAGCAGTGAATGCACTGCTGGTGGTGTCAGCATTTTTCTTAAATTCCTCAATTAACTGCGTTAGGTTGCTAATTTCCTTAGCTTTCTCATCTAAATTATTCTCATAGATTTCTTGTGCTTTATGAAAGTTTAGCTCAAGCTCCAAAATTTGACTTTTTAACCTTTCCAACTCATTCTGATGACACTGACCAGTATCTGATACAGCAGAAAGGGATTTATCACCATCCTGCTTTGCTGATTGCAATTCTACTCCAGCATAATTTAAAGATATTTCCTCAGATGTTCTATTTTGATGGTCAGTGCTCTCCTGTTCTTTTTCAACTGCTGAAAGACTGCTCTCTTCATTTGGCATTAAGGGAAAATCTTGCCCTGTATCTTCAGGAAATACTTTCATTTTAATTGGAGCCATTCCCTCACCCTCCATCTGTTTCATTTCTTTCTGGTCAAGGACCTCATAATCCCCTTCCTCAGCCCTTTTTCCCTGGAGCTGTAATTTAAGAAATGCAATTTCCTCTTGAGCTTCTTTCATTTCCAACAATAAAACTGATAATTCTTTATGTTTCTGAGAAAATGTGTTCTCTAGAACGTCTTGTCCACTTTCCTCGGTAGAAGAGCTCTTCTTGTTGATAATATCAACATTGCTGATCTATTTTTTAAAAAGGAAAAAAAAAGCTTTAATCAAATGTTTTATAATATTTAAAAAATAGCTCAACTAAAAACTTGTATTTCATCTTCCAAAACCTCAGACTTTTTAGTCAAAACCTCCTTTGTACCATACCACTGCTAAATCCTTTTAAAATCAGTTTGTATATCCCAACTGGACTTCCAAGGGCACTCTGCCAATCCTGCACTGAAGTCAAGCCCCACTCATAAGATGTACGGAAACCTGGAATTCACTTTCTAGACACTCCTTACATGAGAAGCTGTTTTTCTCTTCAGAATAAAACTCCTAATTGATTATTTAAAAAAAAAAAAAATGTAAGCAGATACTTTTGTTAGGAAGCCACATTATTCCTCAAGGGCATGTATGATTCTATCACTGAATTACTGATTAAAAGAACACAGCGAACTAAGCACAATACAGATAACAATAATCTTAAATCAACAGAATGATACTAAGCAACCATATATTTCTTATAGTAATTTTCAGATTATAAAAAGCATCATTATCCAAAGATCCCTTTGTATTTCATCTTAGTAAAACTGTGCCAATTGTGGGGAAAGAGGCCCAATAAATCTTATCTAATCTCTTCACTGAGAAACTTTTCTGAGATGAACAAAGAAGTTGAGGTAGATGATAACCCAGTATAAAAACTGGGTTATCAAATCCTAAATAAGTAGTTACTTTATTTATGTTGCTTTAGGACAGTGAATTCCAATATTCAGAAACAAGTGACAATAAATGAGATGTAATAACCATTATGAATCTCTTAAATAGATCTTACTCTATAGGTAATATATTTCTCTGGCAACACTAGAAAATTATAGGCATGTTTTGATATGAAGCTACCTTCTCTTAATCTAGTTCATGTTCTGGTTATATTAAGAATATATCACTTACCTCACTGATTTCTCTATCTATCTCCCCAGTTCTATTCTGAGCCTCCAGGAGAGTAATCTGAGAAGAGAGTTTTTCTGAAAGTCACAAAATAAATATCTTTAGAAGATATATGTGGAGTGTGTGAAAAAACAAGACTGCATATGAAGCTACTTAAGATGCATAAAATAATTTTTAAAAAACAAACAAAATAGTTTGGGAGAGGTAAAAGCCTTATTAAAATAAAGAAGTGGCAAGAGAATATGATTAGATGAGATATAAGATCGAACAGTACTAGGTAATGATAATGAACCTGAGTAAAGTATACTAAATAGTGGAAGGTTTGAAAGGAAAAGGATACCAGGGCACAGGACAAAAAGCAGCTATTTCTGTGGCATAATCTGGAACTTCTAGGACAATACATATAATTTATCCATAATCCTACTGTGTTCGTAATACATATTTTGCATTAATATAGCACTTACAATATTCTTCAATGTTCACAAAGATATCAAATTTTAGCACTAAAAGGGAGCTCCCTTTTAGTGAGAGCTCCAATCTCCTCAATGATCATATTAGGAAACAAAGAAATGACATGACCCGAAAGGTTATGCAGCTAGTTTAGAGAGCTGGGATTAGAATCCAGGTCATTTGAGTTTTAACCCAAGTTCTATTACAATGTATATATATTGAGCATTAATAACAATAACCTCAAAAGCTTATATTCTTTCTGAGAAGCTAAAACAGATACACCAAAGGAAATAATATATACATTTTTTACACTGTATCCAAATGTCTTAATGTGACCCACAGGAACCCTCATGCTTTGACCCTACTAATTCTCCAACCTCTTGTACTGCCCCCTTTTCATTCACTCTGCTACAAACACTGGCCTGTTTTCTCTTCTGCAAACTTATCAAGTTCATTCATACTTGAGGACATTTGTACTGCTTTTTTCTCTGCATGGAATGTTCTTTGCTTAGCCTCTTTGCATGGCTGTTCCCTTTTCATCATTCAAGTTTTAAGTCCTCAGAGAGGCCTACTCCCACTACTCTAATTCTGCCTTCCTCTTCTCCAAGGCATTTGAAATGCCCTGTTTTATTTTTAGCCTAATACTTATAATTCTCTGAAATTTTCTTATGTGTATAGACAGGTTTGTAGTCTGTCTTCCCCTCTAATATGCTCATAGCTACCTCCCCAGCATCTAGAATAGTGCCTGGCACCATAGATGAGGCAAGTGAATTCAAGACAGTATATAATATGTTCAGACATTTCACAAGATTACTTGAAAAAGGGATACAGTTTTAGAAATCTCAGTGCAAAAAGTGAGTTGAAAAGAACATGACATATAAAGTAAAAGTAATCTATAAGGCCAGACACAAAAACCAATACAGAAAACCTTAAGGCCTTGCAGGAAAGAACAAAGGAAAGGAACTCATATAATACCTCCAAACCATATGAAGCAACATGAACAGGATAGAGACTGTTTGCAAAACTGCAAAATAAGCATCATGGATAAGGCCTCAAAGGAGTGCTCTGAATGGTTTAAATAATGAGCTGAATTTTTGGTATTCTTTACTTATTAGCAATAGTGGGAATCGTCTAATATAAGTGCATAAGCCTCCATTTAGATCTAAGTGGAAAACTGTAAAATGGTTGAGTTAGAAATATTGGCTCTAGAGTTTAATACAAGTTTTACAACCTTCCTATTCATTCTCACTCCTAGATGATAAAGCATAGTAGTCAGTTAATCCAAGATGAATTCGATCAATAAATCATTAACTATACGCTACTAAATCCGTGAAGTCCAAATGAAGCATATGATGAGTGAAAAGAAACATGTCTTCATTCTCACTAACTATTCACACACAATCCAACAGGATAAAATGCTAAGTTCAGTTTAATCCAACAAAACTTTATTCAGTAGCCATTATTTGCCAGGTAGTATACTAGTTTTGGGTAACACAAAGATGGAAAAATATAGCCCCTGCCCTTGAAGAGCTTATATTTAAACTTGGAAGAACTTATAATAGAGTAAAAAAAGACAAACATATAAACAGATCATTTAATACAATGTTAAAGTTATATAAGGATGTTATGGAAGCACAAAAAAATCATTTAACCCAACTTTTGGGGATCAGTACCAAATTCCTGAAAAAGATAATGCACTAGTCAAGGCCTGAAAGATGAGTAAGAATCATCCAGACTAAACGGAAGGGGCAGGATTCTAAGCAGGGTACAGCATGAGCATAAACCACTCACTCACAAAATAGTTTCTACCTTTAAACATTTATACTAATCTCTATTACCTCATCCCACAAATTTATTACCAGAATGTCCTTTCTTCATTTTACCTATTTTAAAAATCATCTTATTAAGGTCCTGTTTAAGCCATACTTCCTATAGGATACCATGACCACTCCAAAATGATTATGAATTATAAAGAAATCCTGCAGCATGTATAGTCCATATTGTAAAATGTTATGTAAACACTGATACTATCCTCTAATTATAAAATGTGCATTAATTTTATCTTTGATAATTACCAGCTCTACAATCTAAATCTTTATTATCATGGAATCAGATAATTCTACATGTTATACATAAATAGTGATAAAAGTAGAGGCACTTGTGGGATAAGAAGACAGAGAATTATGGTTTTCTTTTATACATACCATTCTCAGCTTTCAGCTCCTCCAGCTCTATAGAACTAAGGAGCAAGGCTCCCTTTTCATTCTCTAGTTCTACCACTCTCTTCTGCAAAGAAGCAATATTCTCCTCAGTGACTGCCTAAATTGTAGAAAGACAACAAATTAATGATTCTCCAGTAGAAAATTCTCACACTAAATGCCCAGATAGCCTCCAGCATTTTTGTCTTCTAAAAGTTCTCCAGCCATGAAAATACTTTAAAAATAACATCTACTTATCTGCCTAGGTAATCTTTGAAGAAAAGAAATAAAATATTTCACACAAATATCAAGTTGATTGTCTTTTAAATTTAAGACTGAAGCCTAGATTACAAAGATAGAAATCCCAAGTCTACAGGATAAGAAAGAACATTTTCAGGTTAACAAACAAACAACATTAAAAGATTAGATTAATGCCACCAAGTAACATGGTATCTCTCCTGAAGGAGAATGAACATGAAGGGAGGTTCCACAAAGAGGAATAGAGGCAAAGGAATATGTACCTCTTAAGAAAGAAGATTTGTAACTTTTTTTTTCCAACTATAATAAAAATTCTCTTGGCTTAATTTACACATCCAGAATTTTCGGTTTTCCTACAGACAGGCATATATCTAATTATACCACATCTTTAGTTTTATATCTATATCTATACCTATTTTATTCTCCATGGGTATTATTCTATCAAATTTTCATAAAATTGTAGAATTTTTAAGCCATGATGGTCTTTAAAGCATATTGACCCAAAATATTCATTTGATGTTTAAAAGAAATAGCAAGAGATGAATTTAGGGTTATTATAGCTTTTATCCTGAGGGAAGTTCCCAATTTGCATTATACAGGGCAAGTAAAACTCCAATAGAATGGCCACAGATATTGCTAGTTCAAAGAATGAGAAGACTGATTTTGGGACAAACACAGCTGCCAAGATGTGAGGAGAGAGATCAGAAAGAAGAAAAAGAGTATTAGAAAGGAGAAGCCCTGGATTCTATGTATAAACTTAGCTGAAATTTCTGGCTGAACAATGGCACTATGTATTTGTTGGGTTGACTCAAAGCAGCCCAGCTAAGGCAAAAATAACTGAACTGAGTTTTGATGCCTCTCTATCATAGCTGAGAGTTTGGGATTTGAGTCCAACTTACTGTCTGATAAAAAGTAACTGAAATTTTAGAAATAACAGAATAGCATCTTGAGAACAAAACACAACAGCTACAATCTGAATTCAAAACAAAACGACCATTCACACATAAAGGAATAGGAATGTGTGACCCATTCTGAAGGAAAAAATGTAATTAACAGATTCTAGCCATAAAATGATGCAGATTTTGTAAGCAGCAAATAAGAATTTTTATTTATGCTTAGGACATAAATGAATATGCTCATAATGAATGAGAAAAAATGAAATCTTGGTACAAAGAAAATATAATAATGAACCAGTTTAAAATTCTAGAACTAAAAAAACATAATACCCAAAATGAAAAATTCAATAGATAGGCTTAACAGTAGACTATAGATAACAGAAGAAAGTCTTGGTGAACTTGAAGAAAATAAATCAACAGAAATCATCCAATCTAAAGATGGAAGAATTAAAAAATTTAAAAAAAAAGAATATAACCTCAAGGACATGTGGGACAATATTAAAAGGTTCAGTATACCTATAATTGGAGTGCCAGAAGAGAGGAAGGACAGAATGAGGAGAAAAAAATATTTTAAGAAATGGCCCAAAATTTCTCAAACATAAGGTTATATATGTAAGAAACTCAGCAAAAGCAAGAAAATGACAAGGAAAATTATAACTAAGAACATCACAGGTAAGAATAAAAAGAAAGTCAAAATCTCCATGGAAAAATGATACTTTATATACAGAGGAATAATTTGAATGACTACTGACCAGCTGTTAGGGAAAAAATATAGGCCAGAAGAGGGAAACATCTTGTTTAAAGTTTCTAAAAGAAAAATTGTCAATCCAGAAGTATATATCCAGTAACAAATATCATTCAAGAATAAAAGTAAAATAAAGACATTTTTAGATGAGCAAAAAACTAAGAAAATTTTTTCACAGACAGACCTATAATATTACGGGTTGTTCTAGAGGCTGAAGAAAATGGAATCAAAGAGATATCTGATTAGGGAAGGGCACTGCAAATGGTAAATATGTGGGTATATATTAAGGTCAATATTTTCCTCTTAATGTCTTTCAAATATATATAACCATTTCAAGCATAAATATTAAAATTGTATACTGGAGCTTATCACTTTTGTTAATATAATACATACAACAACTGTGGCATAAGGAATAGGCTGAGAGTATATGATTATGAGGGTTCTACCTTTTAAGTGAGATAGTATAGTATTAACTCTAAGAAGATTGAAAAGTTATGGATATATGTTGTATTTCCTAGAGCAACTACTTAAAAATTTTTTGTAAAAAGATATAGCTCAATACCCAATAGAGGACTTTTGCTTCTGCTAAAGACTGAATAACATGGAACAGGTTTACCCTCCTACCTGAAACAATAATAACCAAAACCAGACAAAATAATGAAATAATCATTTTCAAAATAGTGGATATCAAGCAACAAAGGATAATTATCTCTGAGAGAGGCAGAAAACAAATAAAGTGATCCCTAAAACTGACCAAGCTTCATGCCTTAAGAGAGTCTTCAGGCTTTGGTCCAAGAAGGGGAACCTAGGCTGAGCCTTGTAGACTCCCTAAGTTCATGAGACAGAGCTGAGAGTCAAGATAGAGCAAGATGGCTGCAGTTCACAGAACAGAATACCAGAAAGGAAAAAGTCACATAAAGAGAAAACTCTGCAGATCTGCAAAGGAACTGAACAAGTGTTTAGTGAAATACAGAGCAGCACATAAATGTGAGGAATGCATCCAAGGCTACCTGAACTACCCCTAACTATCCATCTGAAGAGATGAAAGAATAGCACTTGGTGCTCACACAAAACCTGGAAGAGTGTGAGTTCTACATCCAAATGTGAAAAAACACTTCTAAGGGCATTGAGTAGAATACTCAGCAAGGTCTTGCCTCAGTAGTAAGGAATGACTGAGCACTGATTCAAACCCTCCTAACAAACCAAAACAGCAAGATCTGAAAGGATTAAGTTTTTTTCCAAAGAATTCAGCTGAATTCCATTAAAAAAAAAAACCCTCCAAAACATGTACATAAAACAAAGATATCTAGCATTTATAATGTCCAGCAACCAATCAAAGATTATCAGACATGCCAACAAGCAGGAAAATATAAGCCACAATGAACAGACTAATCAACTGAAAGGGAGCCAATATTGACGCATTCTATACATGCAAAAGTAAAACAAAAACATGAATGACATTTTTTAAAAACCCAAATTAACCTTCTAGGAAAAAAAAATTATGTTTGAGACTGCAAAAAATATACTAGATGAGATTAACAACAAATTGGGCATTGTAAAAGAATATATTAGTGAACTTGAACATAAAGAAATAGAAACAAAATGAAAAACAGAGAAAAAAGAATAAAAACAATTAAAAGCCAGCTGGCTGCGATGGCTCATGGCTGTAATCCCAGCACTTTGGGAGGCCAAGGTGGGTGGATCACAAGGTCAGGAGTTCGAGAGCAGCCTGGCCAACATAGTGAAATCCCGTCTCTACTAAAAATACAAAAATTAGCCAGGTGTGGTGGCGGGTGCCTGTAGTCCCAGCTACTTAGGAGGCTGAGGCAGGAGAATCATTTGAACCTGGGAGGCGGAAGTTGCAGTGAGCTGAGATTGCACCACTGCACTCCAGCCTGGGCAACAGAGCAAGACTCCATCTCAAAAAACAAAACACAAAATTAAAACCCCATTAATGAGTTTTAGAACAACTTCAAGTAATCTAATATACATGTAATTGGAATTCCCAAAGGAGAGTAGGGAGTCTGAAAATATATATTTATATTTGACTAATTAATGGCAGAAAATTTTCCAAAACTACAAACAGATTCAAAAAGTTCAATGAACTCCAAGCACAAGAAACATGCTATGTCAAGGTACATCATAATCCAAGTGCTCAAAAACAGTGGTAACTTCCTAAAAGCAGACAGGAAGAAAAAAGAAAGAGAGAAGCGTGACAGCAGATTTCTTAACAAAAACAAAATGCAAAGGCTGAGTGCAGTGGCTCATGTCTGTAATCTCAGCACTTTGGGAGGCCAAGGCAGGTGGATTACTTGAGACCACAGTTTGAGACCAGCCTGGCCAACACAGTGAAACCCCATCTTGACTAAAAATACAAAATTAGCCAAGCGTGCTGGCGGATGTCTGTAATCCAAGCTACTTGGGAGGCTGAGGCAGGAGAATCACTTGAACCTGTGAAGTGGAGGTTATAGTCAGCTGAGATCGTGCCACTGGACTCCATCCTGGATGACACAACAAGACTCTGTCTCAAAAAAAAAAAAAAAAACAAAAAAAAAAAAAAAAAAAAAAAAAAAACCAACAACAAAAAGCAAAAATGCAAGAAAGAAGATAGTAGAGTAATACAGAAATGAAAGAAAACAAAACTTTCAATGTAGAATTCTAGGCAGCAAAAATAATCTTTTAACAACAATGGTGAGATAAAGCTGTCTTCAGACATAAAGTGTTTTAAGAACCCATGACCAGCAGACTTCCACACACACATACATGTGCGCACACAAACAAAAATTAAAAGAAGTCCTTCGGAGTCAGGTGCAGTAGCTCACACCTGTAATCCCAGCACTTTGGGAGGCCAAGGCAGGAGGATCATTTTAGCGCAGGAGGTTAGAACCAGCCTAGGTAACTTAGCAAGACCTCATCTCTACTAAAAGTAAAAAAAAAAAAAAAATTAGCCAGGTATCATGGTGCATGCCTATAGTTGCAACTACTCGGGAGGCTGACGTGTAAGAATCGCTTGAGCCCACGAGGATGAGGCTGCAGTGAGCCATGATTTTTTTAAATAGAGTGAGCCAGGATCACACCACTGCACTCCAGCCTGGATGACAGAGCAAGACTCAGTCTAAAAAAAAGAAAAAAAAAAAAAAAAGTCCTTCAAATAGAAGAAAAATGATACCAGATGAAAATATTTAGCCAGGGTTTGGCAAACTTTGGAGGCCTGCATAAATA